AATACTATTAGCATAATCACTGTTTTATTAAAGCAACGCTATGAAGGCACAGTGTGGTCATTTACAGACAAATGAAAGATGAGATCCTTCTAGCATAAAGGAAATCAACATCTTCTTATGTGTGGGTGCCACAACCCACACAGCCTTAATATTTTGAAGGACTAAAGTCTAAATAGGTCATACTTTGTTCAGGGAAGAAGATGACACGGGTTCCAAGTACCCAGTAATGTAGTTAGCACACGGCAATACGTAAACCTTCTGGCTTTCTCAATATGCTTCCTTCTCTGGTTTTCATTGCTGTTGTGGGTTGGGGGGGGGATTACAGTTTAAAGGCTTTATGGAAAAAAAAGTATTCTAAAGAAAGGTTTAAGCTGACACAGCTGCATGAGATTGGAGAAGTGCTCAGAAGGCATTAACTCATCAAAGGCTGGATTTTCTAAATAACTAGGACATTACTGTAACACATCTGTGTGCTCTTACTAAGCCTTTCTCACGAGTTTATGTGTTCAATTAAATGGTGGAGTTTTGACTTAGGAAACACATTCTGTTTATAAACTGAAATGTTTTCCCTGACTATTACTGTAAACTAATAAGTATAAATTATATCAATAATGCTGTTTGGTCTAGGTTTTTTTTATTTCCAAAATGCATTTGAGAAAAAGACAAGAATTACACTTTTCAATTTTAAGTCTCACAACAGGATTTATTGGTGCCATATACTGGCTATTTAGTCCTTTTAAATTTCACCAAATTATGAATAATGTGTTTTAAATGTAGAATAATAAGAACATTATGAACCTTGTAACTGAATCAGCCAACATCAAACTATGTAATTGGCAAATCTGTAATATTTAAATTACATTAAGTCAAACTTTGGTACAATGTTCCAACAGTGTAATTCAGTTATGAAGCTTTTAGGTGTGCCAACAGGAGAACGCTCAAGCCAGCGTACAACTGCTTGTGTGCAGAATCCAAGCACTAAAGCCACACACATACATACCCCTTGTGTCTCAGAGGTAGGCTTCTTCCTGACAACTGCCAACCATTTTAGATCCTTCCTCCCTAGTGTATGAGCTCGTGGGGCACTAACATGTTCATGCAGCAGGTAAACATGGTCACATTGCTGTTTGCCTTTCCTGGAGGGATGTCCCCACAAAAATCTGAAGGAGAAAAGGGTGCTTCAGTTCATAGCCCAGGCAAGCTGTCAACATTTCTGCCGAGGATGGGTTTAAGCTAGTCAGATGGAGCGTGGGCAGACAATCTGTTCCACTGCATCCATCGCACAGGTGGTAGGAGCCAGCAGAGCTTGGAAGGGAGCTGCCGTCAGCCACTGCTGAAACCCCCTCTGGTATATTTGTCAAAAGGCGTCTGAAGATGACCTAGGATTTAGACAAGGCTCTAAATCACTTAAACTCTTTGTAGTAAAAAGTGCTAAACTATAATCGTTTGAAGCGGTGCCAGAGAAAGGTCAGCAAATTAATATTACATTAGGTGAAATGTTAACAGTATCTCCAGTGCCAGGTGAGCAAAGTACTTACGCATCTGAGTAGTTGCATCCCTAATCAGCAATATATTTGAGCACATGCTTAAAATACTTAATCATACTTAAAGATGCTTTGCTAGATACCAGTGAGAGCGCTCACATTCCTCACTCTGGTTAGTCAAGACCTTTATAAAGCCAGAAACAAATATATTTAGATCACGGCTCTAAGAATCAACCTCTAGAATAACTTGCTTAGCAACTAGGTTGTGAGCAAAGGAAGCATATTAACAGTGTGATTGAAGAAAGGGCTCATCCTTCCTTTTCTCTGCCTTTTCCCGTCACCTAACAAAAACATGAGAGTCCTTAAGGAAGGAAAAGTTATTTAGCCATATCTGGTTTTCAGAGATTTAATTTATGTATGAAAGTGCATTCTGATGGAAGGAACTAAGCCATCACTTTATATAATGCCATATTTATACAGTATGATACTAGCAGAGCTTACAGCTAAGGTTGCTAAACTCACAATACCCTATTTTCAGGTGCTTGTTACTTTGACAAATTTCTGTGGTTTGGCTGAAATTTCCACACCTTGGATTTTTGTCTGGTTGTTTCAGCAAAATTTCTTATTAAGCTTTCATGAAAATCATGTAAGACATGCTGTTTTTCCCATATTAAAATTATAACAGAATCTTGTCTGAGAATTTGTCAACCCTACATACTGGGAAGCAGAGACTTTTCACTTGGTATAGATGGTTCTAGATAGTTCTGCTGCCATTTCCATGAAAATGCCTATAGGCTTAGTCAATGAAACTAGAAAGGAAAGAGAATTCAGTAGAAAACCGCTGGAGTGTGAATCTGCACTGAACACATCCTGTGCCTGCAAGGTCTCAGCGTATCTGAGGAACTGGTGGTGTTCCTGGAGCGGAGAGCAACTCAGCAACTTCAAGGGCTGAGCAAGAACTTCCCTAGAACAGCTTCTGCAGACGCGGAGCGGGGAGACTCTCTTGCATGCTCCTGGTGCTTTCACTGCCAGAGCCGCAGAGTGTGCGGTCTCTCAGAGCTCGTGAAAAGAAAAATGTTAATATTTCTAGGAGGGGAAGTTGCTGCTGAGAGAGACTAGGACAGAAGCCAGCTGGAAGATGAGAACTGGAATGACAACAGAGGATAACGTAGGTGTCTTCGTACACTCGAGCACATTCATTTCAACAACCTGAAAACAAGCTTTCATTAATGTCACCTGTGAAACCTGCTGGGAAAATGTCAGTCACCTCCCCACTCAGTTGCTTGTTCATACAGCAAATTTAAGTCCATTACAGCTATGTGGATCTGCGGCAGGTAGGTATAATCCTCCTCATGATTCATACTGGTGCTAAAATGGTTTCACATAAGGGAATCTGGAGGGGTTTCATGTTTCTGTGGGGTGACATAGGAAATGATACACAAAAGATCTGCATGAAGAGAGAGGTTTTAGATGCTTGTGGTCCTCTGAATAACCTCCACCATCCATGGACGGATTCTCCAAGTAAATGTATCTGACTGCACAGACTACCTTGGGGCACACTAGCAGAAAGACAGTGCTGCCTGAACGTTGTCAAACCATTTCTAAACCTGGTTTGCATGTCTCGGCATCTGGTGTTTCCTGTTCACTGGAGCGCAGAGTGAGTCGCATGGCTAAACAGTAGCCTGATGAGACCTCGAGTGGCTCCGCGCAGAGAAATTCGGTCATCTCTGCCTAGTAACCTTCAACATTTCTATAGTTAGGTCTCATTAGCTCAGGCCTGTGTTTGTGAACACAGCTAAGCACTGCCGGACCATGTAGTTGATGGGTGTGTGGTCTCAGCCAGCAGCAGTCAGTGCAGCGGGAGGACAGTTCACACATCCATGAGCCAGGTCTCTGGAAGACAGTAGCCTGAGTGCCAGAGTCCAGGGCTCCTCCTTCGTCTGGACACTCATTTCCCTTTGTTCTCACCTCAGCATCCCTTTCCTTAGCAAACACCTCAAATCACTTCCCTTTCCTTCGTTAAATTCAGTCGTTCCACATCGACTTCTAACACCAACCTCCTCCTCAGCCTTAGCCTCATCTCATGAGCATCCGCACCCCTCATCTCATGAGGGCTCGGGCGTGTTGCAGGGCCCCGGCAGCGAGGGCGCGCAGCGCGGGGCCCGGCCG